AGCCCGAATCAGTTTTCTAAAGTGTTTTTGAAAAATTACATATCCTACCTTTAATAACATTTAGTGTGTAGCATGCTAATTAAAGGTAGAGCTCACCCCAAAATTAAAGTCATGTTGCCCAAGGCTGACAAACGTGTTGGTTTTGATTACCAGCATTCTTCAAAGTATCTTCTTTTGAGTTTTGCAGAAAACCAAATGTCAGAGGTTTGGAAAACGTATGTAAATGATGACAGAATTCTGGGTTAACTATTCTTTTCAGTAAATTAATAGAAACACTTCTCACTAGTCATCACTGTGCAGAAAAATAACAGTGAACGCTGCAATAAAATTGATAAATACACATTCAGCAGATCCAAAGCCTGTTGAACAGTAGGTCCCTTCAGTTAAGAATTCCCCCAGTTGCTGCAGAAAATAACATCACTAGTCATCACTGTGCAGAAAAATAACAGTGAACGCGGCAATAAAATGCTTGGTAAAAACACATTCAGCAGATCCAAAGACTGCTGTTGAACAGTAGGTCCCTTCAGTTAAGAATTCTCCCAGTTGCTGCAAAATATAACATGGTCAAATGGTAATGCTGACATTTACTTGAACTTACCAATGTTCTCATTGGCTCTAACTGCTCCTTGCTAGTCCAGTCAGAGAAGTACCGGCATAACAAAGATGATGTCCACTGTCTTGGACTCCAAGCACTGCTCGGTGTTCACAGGTGTCTGAGGAGTACCGTCTGCCGTTTCTTCAGCGATGAAAACACTTCTCTTGATTACTACAAAACAGAAATATTAAAATAAATGTGTGGCACATTAAGAGAAATAATCAGCTATGCCTGTGCGTCTCTTCATGCTGAGTGAAGAAGCATCTAAAGTGATAAACTGTGATGCTGTGTTTGTGTTGTAGTCAGTTAACTTACATGTGTTTTGGTAGAGGTGAGCATCTGTACATGTACAGTCCGCTTACATTTAGCAACTGTAAAAGAGGGCAGAGCTATTGCAGATGATCTCAGACAGACTGATGCATATTAATATGATTGCAGTACATTTCTCATCTAAAAATCACTGAAACTAGCTTATCATTAGCGTATGTATTTAGTTGAAAACAACGATTTCTCTAATACATACAAACTTCGCTCACGTCATTTAAAGGGGTCATATGATGCGATTTCAATTTTTCCTTTCTCTTTGGAGTGTTACAAGCTCTTGTTGCATAAAGAAGATCTGTAAAGTTGCAAAGACTAAAGTCTCAAATCCAAAGAGATATTCTTTAAATGTTCTTTTTAGCAGCATCATATGACCCCTTTAAGTAATATGGAATAAAAACAACGTTTGCTTATTGCAATTGCATACAAATAAGAATGTGGAAACTAAAAATTCAAACAAACCTTTCTCATTTTAGCCTATACGCTGGACCGTCGTCATCCTCCTCTTCCTCATCTGTTTGTTTGCGGATCGTAGTGTTGCTCATCAAAGTTTTCTGCAGCGTAAACACTCTAGACCAGGGATGGGCAACTGGCGGCCCGTATACGGCCTGCAGTGTCTTTTAGTACGGCCCGCTGGATCATATTAGACTCGGATCATCAATTTTAAAACATCTGAAAAGCAAGTCATGTAAAGATTGCTTTCAGTTTGTGATGTTAATACTATCTCCAACCAGGAGAGGTCGCTAGTTTCCAGCCGCTCCCTTACTAATTTCAGCGTAGTAGGACGTGCACTCTATAAACATTCATTAACATTAGCAAATAATAAATGAAAAACTGACCATGAAAACAGTATTTTCAAGTCAAGATGGTAAGATTATCTTTTTACCAAGTCCAAGTTCAAAAGTTTTTTGCCAAATGCATGACAGAAATGTTTGCACTGGACTATGTTCTTATTAGGGTTTCCGCGGGTCCTTAAAACGTCTTCAGTTAAATTGTTTACATTTAAGGCCATGCAAACTCTTAAATGGTACAAAAAGTCTAAATTATAAGAGGTCTTTGGGGACGGAAAGACAAGAATTGCTATGTGGATTAATATGTCGATTAAACTTCAAAA